CACGCTGAATCCGAATATGCTAATTTTATTCACCAGGAACATAATCTTTTTTCATAAAATTTAATAGACATGACGAACAGTAGACAGATTGATGCAGCTTGAAAAAGTGAAGCTTCTTCTAACTCATTGAATTGAGTGTCATATACGTATGGAATATTTTAAGAAAAAGAAATAAAAAAAAGATTTTTCAAGATAAATTCAGTATAAGAACGTTTTAGATATTAAAAAATATTTTATTCGTTTAATAAATCATGGAATTTCAAAACTAATTTAATGCTCAGAATTTATGAAATTTTTATTATATAATTAAATCTTTAAATAATATTTCAATTATGAATTATCATCGTGAAGAATTTTATACACTCTTGTGAACATATATACAGAATTTTTTTCTTGTCGTTCTGTCGTTCATATATATATATTTGTGTATACGCGTATGACAGAACGAAAGAAAAAACTGAAGAAGGAACAAAAAAGTTCTTCCTGCAGGGAATTTTGTTTTAAAAACTTTTGCTTGGGACTACACTATACCCCGCGCTCATATTCTAGCACAATACTCAGTTTTTTGCCCTCTTTCTAACGATACCAATCTTATGCATTAGACTTTTAGAAAATTTTTTTCCAAGGTTTGCTATGTGTTATATATATTGTTACTTCACCACTTTGTATAATCAAAATGAAAATTTATTTTATGACCGTAAATTACATCACTCCGGAGCGGTTTTGAATGGAAGGTGTTCGGTGAATAAAATTTTATTCACCGAACACCTTCCCTTCAAAACCGCTCCGGGGTGATATGTTGTCACATTTACTTTTCTTTTACTGTCACAGGCAGAAAGAAAATTGTTCAAAGCTGTTATTTGTTCTTTTAATTTTTCTTCACCAGTCGAAGGATCATAAGGTGGTTGATAATCAAGATCTTCATCTTCCATAGAATCTTCTTTACAACATACTGACTCAAGATCGAAAAGACACTGAAAAGTGTCTTTATGAAGTATTTCTCCTGTTACTTCCGTTTTGTCCGAAATGTCCATTCGACCATACGAGTTTTTCAATTCGAAAACTTCAAATACTGTGACAGCTTGAGATACAGTAATATTTCTCAAGTCCGTCTTAGTATATGATAATGTTTTTCTTACATTCAAGCAAGTATCACATTTTCTTTGTGCTTTCGTAAAATAAAAGTGTTGTAAAAGTGAATTACGATGAACGTCACAAACGAAAGCGGTATCAGTATTAAATATGTGCTGAAAAAACAAATCAGCTCTTAGAAGCATCACTTCTAAAATGGTTTCAGCATGAGGAAAGCATCTTTTTCTTACTTTCTCATTTTTCAGTTCCGACAAAGCCGTCCAAGTTAACTTAAACGAACAAACAACTTTATCGCAACATCCAGCAAAAAACATTGACTCCTAGTCATTTCTAACAAATAAACTATCACTTACTTATTAATTAAAGAAAATAATAGTTTAATCGTTTATAAAGGGATTTTATAAATGATGAATAATATAGGT